TATGAATAGTTTTATTCTTGTAGTAGAAATAATTAAAGTTATTCTTCAATAGCCAAACCGAATCCTTCAAGCCAATTTCAATCGGAATACCACAAGGCAGCCTAATCTCCCTAATCCTTTTCCTTATATATATCAGGGACCTCTTCCTATTTAATTCAATAAAGTTTCTTTCTTATATAAATGATATTGCTTTAATCATTAATTTATTTATTTGGAAAAAGAATATTAAATCTTTAAAAAGAGTTACAAAACAAATCTACAAACTCAGCTCGAAGAATTCTATTCAATTTGATTTAGCGAAAACTGAGCTAATACACTTTTCGTTATCAAAACTAACGAAAAACTACCCAATCATGTTATCCAATTCTGAAATAATCACACCTCAATCCCTAATTAAATAGCTGGGAATATGATTCGATCCAAACCTCAAATTCAATTAACATATTAATATTCGAATCATACAAGTCAAAGGAGTTTTCTATCGAATGGCCCGATTAGCTAATATCGAAAAGGGCCTTAGTTCTAAAGCCCTCAGACAGTTATATATAGTATGTGTGATTAGTATAGCTGACTATAGTTCAATGATTTGGTGGAGAGGTCAAACTCATTTCAAGAATATAATATAATTACTTCAAAACTTAGCTTTTTGCAAGATATTAGGAGTATTCAAAACAGCTCCAATCATTTCAATGGAAGTAGAAGCTGGCCTAAAACCTCTCAAAATCCGATTAGATTCAAATATCAGATAATATGCTTTCTGATTAGCCAAGTTATTACTAAAGTATTCAATCAATATTGAAAAAGAAACTTCAGCTCAATATCAAGCTGATTTAGGAGTGATCCCTATATTTCGAAGAAAACGATATAAATCTATTCAATTGGATAGAATTAGAGAATTGATAAATCAGAACTTTAATCTTTTTTTATTCGAAAAGATCATTTACTTTAACTTCTCTTTATGGAAAAGAGATATCCTTTTCAAAATCAACATTAACAATTCGTCAAAAGAAAATGCTGCTATTCTTTATAATATTGTTTTTAAATATAGGGATAAGGATACTATTTATATTTATATTGATGCCTTTTCTATTGAAAAGGGAATTGGTATTGGGATATTGATTGATTGATTGATTTAATTAACGTCCACCTTCAGTCTATGACTATATAGGACGGCTAGGCCAAATGGTCTAGCGGATAACTTTTAAAGTACAAAATTAGGAATTTTAACAATAGGGTAAGTGAAAACTAATACTGGGGACTCGTTCCCGCTTACTATACGAAGTGCGTATAGTAAGATATAGAGTAGAGAGGGTTAAAACCCTTTCTTTTCTATCTTTTCTCTCATCCTCCTCCTTCTCTTTCCATTTCCGAAATGACTCTCTCTCCTTCTCTTATTGTCTCTTCTTCTTCTACAATTTCGTTTTGTATCTCGGCTCTTGATAGGTGCCAAGTTCGAGTAGCGATTTTGGTAGTATTGATGAATTTGATTGCTAGTTCGATACCTATTTCGTATATAGCAGAAATTATAGGTTGATTTTCGAGATTGGTATTTCTTTGAAGATTTCCTTTCTTTCTTTTCTATATATTGGGCAACCAATAAGGAGGTGTGCAGCTGTTTCGATATTGTTGCAGATACACTTATTGTTGAAAGTTTGAATCGATGTAAATAAGACTTAATATAACCGTAGCCGATTTTGAGTTAAAAGAAGGCGCTAGCAGTATTTCGCTTAGTACCTTCTGGTAGCTTGATTTTGGAGCTGATTTTCTATGGGAAGAGTTTCGAATAGGTTGTATCTGATTGATTTGATCTGGATTCGTATTAATTGAGAGTCTCTAGCCATTAATCGGAGTTGTATTTCTTTATTATTATATCAAATAGCCCTATACTGGTTTCACTTGAAGTAGCCCGTATTGAAGTTGCTTCTTTCGCTAATTTATTAACCATTTCATTTCCTTATATCGAAGTGTAACCTGGAACCCAATTTAAAGAGACTTCAGCTCCTTTTGCTCTAATATCCTCTGCTGCCTTGATTGCTCGTATTTGGTAGGCTTGCCCTGGTATTGGGATAGGTATAGTGGCTATACAGTCAAATAATCGAATTCTATATCAAGAGTGAAGCAATATTGGTACTAATCAATTGGTATATAATGGAAAGCTCTTTAGAGTTACAAAAGCTATCGAATATACTAGTTCCATTGCTTGTAGTAATCAAAAGTTCAAGATCTATTCAGACAATCAAACTAATCTATATCACCTAAAAACTCCTTTAGATTATTTAGGACAGACCTACCAAATAAAAGCAATCAAAGCAGCAAAGGTTATCAAAGCAAAAGGAGCCGAAATCTCACTAAATTGGATTCCTGGCCACATTTCAGTTGAAGGAAATGAGCTAGCAGATAAGCTAGCCAAGGAAGCAACCACAATACAATCCACCTCGAACGAAATAAGCTTTAGACTATTAGATATGATTGTTAAGGAATATACTTCAGATCAATAGCTTGATACTCTCAATCAATACGAACTCAGATCAAACCAATCTCTATCAACTTACTCGAAGCTATTTCCTTGGAAAATAGGCTCGAAAATCAAGCTACCAAGCGGAATTAATCGAAACACTGCTAGTGCATTCTTTCAACTCAAATTAGATTATGGATATATTAAATCCTATTTATATCGCTTCAAACTTTCCAATAACAAATGTATATGTAATAATATCGAGACACCACAATACCTCCTTATTAGCTACCCCATATATAAAGCTAAAAAGAAAAAAAAATCTTTAAGGAAATACCTTTATCCAAAATCACTATATAATTCCTACTTCATATCAAAATTGATATCGAATTAACTATCAAATTTATCAACATCACCAAAATAACTATAAGAGCATGGTATCTAGCTAGAGCTTTGATACAAAACGAAACAGGAGAAAAAGAGATAATAGAAAAAGAAGAAGATATAATAATAAAGGGAAAAAGAGTTATTGCAGAAATGGAAGGAATAGTAATTGAAGAAAAAAAAGAAGAAAGGAGAAGTCTCTTACTAATTTCTTGAGTATTATATTTCCCTTTCCTTATTATATGCAATGCGTATAATAAGCGGGTATTGGTCCCAATATTTGTTTTTACTTCCCTAAATCGAATATATCCATCTTTGTAAAATAAAAAGTTATTTGTTAGAGCCTCTAGAGGCCTAGCCGTCCTATATAGTCTTAGACTGAACGTGAACGTAAATGAAATCAATCAATCAATCTTCCAATTGAAATTAGGTCACGGATATATCAAATCATATCTATATCGATTCAATCACTCCAATAATAGATGTATATGCGGTAATATTGAGACACCGCAACACCTCCTGATTAGCTGTCCTATATATAAAACAGAAAGAAAAGAGATATTCCAGAATATATTATTATCGAAAATCACTATACAATTCCTATTGCATACCAAAATAGGTATCGAATTAGCTATCAAATTTATCAATATCACCAAAATCGCTACAAGGACATAACATCTAGCAAGAACTCTTGAACAAGAAGTAATAGAGAAAAGAGTAATAGTAAAAGAGAAAAAAAGAGAAAAGAATGAAGAAGAAGCAGTTAAGAAAATAAAAGAAGGGCTTGACCTCCTCACAATTTCTTGATCGTCAGAATTTTCTTATTATATGCAATACGTATAATGAGCAGGCATTATTCCCCAGCATTTGTTTTCACTTCCCTAATAAGATTATAACCAATATTGTAAATCAAAAAGTTACCTGTTGGGCCCATCGGGCCTAGCCGTCCTATATAGTCTTAGACTGAAGGTGGACGTAAATTCAATCAATCAATCAATCAATCAATCAATCAATTGGAGAGATGCTGCCAATGGGCGGGAACAACACACAGATATCTATAGGATATCCACCAGGCTACATGGGATAGATACATCATCTTTACCTACTACCAATAGGGACTAGATTTTGGAATTGTCTACCCATGATCTTCATTAGTAAACATAATAGCTTATATCTAAGTACAACGGTTTAAAACTATTCAATACAGAAGCTTTGGTTGCGGTTTCATACATACTCGAAGGCGTGGCAATTCTACTATCCGTCTCCGATGACACTAATTTTTATATCCTCTTTCGAATCATCTCCCTTCCCAGTTTGTTCTCGATATTGAAAGTTGCTCAGTATATTCTTCGTAGTTGTAGAAACAAGTACCGGCGGTTTTTCTGCAAATGGTTTCGCGGGAACTTTAGGCTTTTGCTGTTGGTCCTGGTAATTCTTATTCTTCTGCCATGGCTGTCGAGGTGGTTTAGACTAGACTTCAAGTAGGAATTCGATAAGGTTGTAATTCGTTGCAATTCTCGTAACTATAGTATAAAACTAATGATCCATCTTGAGTACGAAGCTCTACATTGTAATGAGACGGATTTCCTTATATAAATCTTCGTTCCCTGCGCATCGACGAGTCGATTACCGCAAAGCCGACTTCGAAAAGTCGGTTTCCTCACCACGTAACACTATTCCTGTGATTCGCTGTTACCCTTTGTAGCAGTTCCCCTTGCTCATATTTCTATCCAAGTGGAAGACTTAGAACCTTACCGTATAGATCTTAAAAACCGTGTTCTACAACATGGGAATTTGAAACATGTTCTATAATTGGTTGGAATTACGACGAGAGGATTTCATCGAATGTATATCAAGTAGTGACCTATCCTACCCCTCTTTCTGTATCACACCAGTCAATAATTTCTTTGTCTCAAGCCTTCGATTTTAACAACGATTGACTTAAAACCACATCTACTGAATGTCTTCCTTGTGCTTCTTTGTGGTATTAAAAATGTTATGTAATTATATTAGAATATATTAGAATTGAGGTGGCAAATCGAAAGTCTATATAATCACAGACTTCCCCCAACCTCTCTATTAAGAGAGGGAAAAAAGAAAGGGGAAAAGAAAAATGAATATTATATTATAGATAATAATGATATAGTAACTATTAAATAAATTAAACTAAAGCTTGTTTTGATCTAGAGGATGTAAAACTTTCATACTCAAGCTTCAAGATGAAAATACAACCGGAAGGAACTTCTAGAGCTAGAATTCCCTTATAACAAGATGTACTAGATAATCGACACTCTGGAGGTAGCCAAATCGTATTTCGCATTTCTCTATCTACTATTTCAACTATCCAATGGTTTGATATAGAGTAGCGTTCAAAGGCTGAAGATGCCTCTAGGCCTGAATAGCCTTCGAGTGTTTGAAGCGATTCGCTTGTTGCGACATCCCAGAGCCGGATTGTTTTATTGCTAGAGCCGGAAGCTATCACTTTATTATTTAGCGAAAAAGTAATCGAATAAATTGAATCCGAATGACTCTCAAGTGTTTGAAGCGATTCGCTTGTTGTGATATTCTAGAGCCGAATCGTTTGATTGCCAGAACCAGAAGCTATTACTTTACTATTCAACGAAAAAGCAATCGAATAAATCGAACCTGAATGATCTTTAAGTATTTAAAGCGATTCGCTTATTACAACATCCCAAAGCCAGATCGTTTTATCGTTAGAGTTAGAAGCTACCACTTTATTATCTGGCGAAAAAGCAATCGAATAAATTGAATCCGAATAACCTTCAAGTGTTTGAAGCAATTCGTCTGTTATGATATTCCAGAGCCGGATTGTTTGATTGCTAAAACTGGAAGCTATCACTTTACTATCCAGCGAAAAAGCAACCGAATAAACCGAACCCGAATGACCTTCGAGTATTTGAAGCGATTTATTTGTTGCAATATCCCAGAGCCGGATTGTTTGATTATTAAAATCGGAAGCTATCATTTTACTATTTGGCGAAAAGGTAATCGAATTAATCTAATCCGAATGACCCTCGAGTATTTAAAGCGATTCATTTATTGCAATATCCCAAAGCCGGATCGTTTGATTATTAAAACCGAAAACTATTATTTTATTATCTAGCAAAAAAGTAACCGAATAAACTGAACCCGAATGATTCTCGAGTATTTAAAGCGATTCGCTTGTTGCGATATCCCAGAGTCGGATCGTTTGATCGTTAAAACCGGAAGCTATCACTTTACTATCTAGCGAAAAGGTAATCGAACTAATCCAATCCGAATAACCCTCGAATATTTAAAGCGATTCACTTATTGTAATATTCCAAAGCTGGATTGTTTAATTGTTAGAATCAGAAGCTATCACTTTATTATCCAGCGAAAAGGTAATCGAATTAATCCAATCCGAATGATTTTTAAGTGTTTGAAGTGATTTGCCTGTTGTGATATTCTAGAACTGGATTGTTTGATTGTTAGAGCTAGAAGCTATTATTTTATTATTTAATGAAAAAACAATCGAATAAACCGAATCCGAATGACTCTCGAGTGTTTGAAGCGATTCGCCTGTTGCGATATCCCAGAGCCAGATCGTTTTATTGTTAGAGCTGGAAGCTATCATTTTATTATTTGGCGAAAAGGCAACCGAATAAATCGAACTTAAATGGCTCTCGAGTGTTTGAAGGGCGGCACTCCAATTTGATTGTGTTCTTGATATTGTATAAATCCAATTGGGGATACATTTTTGAAATGTTTTTCGAATAATGCTTTCCACAGGAGTAAAGAAAAGACCTGAGCAATAGATTTGAAGAGGAGCTTGTTCAATTCCTATTCGGTTATAAAGGACGAAGCGTTTGGCGTCGTGGGTAAAAGCGAAAAGTTCAGGAGCTTTCTCAACCTTGGCACCCATTAATAGAATGCTTTTTTTCAAGCTATTCTGACTCACCGAGATACAAGATTCTAAACTTTTTATTGCAGTAATACATTCTGAAATATTTCCCATCAAACTCATAGCTTCAACCCAGTGTAAAAAGTGCTCTCGAAGAAACCTGTAAACTTGGCAATTGTCCAGAAGCACATCATTACTCCCTTGAATATGATATACCCAGTAACGACAAGCATATTGAAAATCTGGCGGCAGAGTTTTATTTACAATATCCTTATCAACATCAATTTGTGATATCCCAGGTTCACCTAGGCTGCATAGGTCTTGTTTAAGGCACTCGGGTCTGGACATGAGTTGAAGGCACTTGCTGGCTATTCTTCCATGCAATTCCTTCTCATTCATTCTGAATTTGTTTTCGTCATCTTCTGAATGATCAAGAAGAAAATCCCGGAACGAAAGATGAAAGAGCCTTACTGGAGCATCTTCGCTAGAAGGAACATCGAGAACTGAGTGCAGAGATCGAAGACGGCGCTCTACATAATTCTGATCGACATCAAGTAGACGTGCAAGTGAGACAATTGAAAGTGGATCAGCAAGGATTATAATCGCTCCAACTACCTCTCTAAATTCTTGGATAAGTCTTCTCTTTTCCTCCGCATCTTGATTGATAAGCTGCTGATTTAGAATTGGTAGATATGTTTTACCAAGTTGCGATATGTTTGAAGCCGTTTGATATTGAAGAATGATTTTCAAGCGGTCCTTTGGGTCCCAATTTTGATCTGCGATGAAACGGCATATAGTAGCTGCAAAAATAAACAAAGGGATAGCCATCTGAACTAGAGCTTGAATGCTTCCTTCTCCTGGCCAACCGTGGAGTAAGTCCCTATCGTTGTTGGCCCTTACATTCTCAAATTCATGCTTTAAATAAATGGTTATATCGTGCTCGATAGTCGTCTTTGTAATCTCATGCAATACAAGATCCTGATGTATTTCCTTTGACATTTCTTGAAAGCCAAGACGGATTGGAAGTTCTGGTCTGCTAGTCACAAAAATTCGTAAACACACAGATTTTAATTGATTGATCTGTGTCAGAAGATGCAAAATTGTTTTGATATCTTCTTCCCGCTTACATTCGTCTAGCGCGTCGATCACCAGAACTAATATAGATTTCTGTGGTGAAGCATTCAATTCAGTAAGTGGCTTGAAAATCAATTGCTCAAATTGCTTTGCTAAACTTTTGCCGGAAATGTTTGGGTCGAGATCAATCGCTTTCTTAAGAGACGGTATCATTTGTGGCAGCTTAACCACTAATTGATGAGCAACAGTTGTGAAAAATTTGCTTGCAGTCCCACGATCACCTTCGCCTCGTTTGAAGAAAAAGCTTGCTCCCAAGAGAGTCTTTTCCTCGAAAGATTGAGCAACTGTACGCGAGATGGTAGACTTGCCCGTACCAGCCATTCCATTGAGCCAGAATATGCATTTGCCCTTGGAATCCTCGGCCCATCCTGAAATCTGTTCCAGTAACTCAACTCGGGTACCCAGAAGACATCTCACATCATGCTCGTCTTGATATGAATCGAAAGTGGCATATTTGGCGATTGGCAACTTTTCCAAATTTATCTGTTCCAAGATTTCACTAACTGATTCTTTGATATTTCGCAGTTCTTCCAGTTCTTTGAGTACATTGCGAAGGTTTTCTAGTTTTTGATTTGTGTGTTGTCGGTCAAGGATATTAAGATTGCGGTCGCAAATGCTGGCCTCAATCTCTGCCCTTGCAGAGATTTTATTGCATCGATTCTCGAAATCCAGCACTTCACTAGGCTGCCAGAAAGCATTCCAGATCCTTTTTAACGTATTTTCCTGATATATCTGGATTGCTTGGACAAGGAACTGTAACGTTATTACATAAAGCTCCATCAATGATATCTCGAAGATATCTCGTTCCTTTGTTGCTGGCAAGTCTTCCAAATATTTCATATATGCCTTCAATCTATTCATTATAGAAAGCGCTATCTCTAGACCCGCTAGAAGAACAGCCATTTGACTGCTATCGGAAATCGTTACCTGTATAGAGGTTAGATAGGATACAATTAATTATACAATATAAAGAAGGAGAAAATGCTCTGCTATACCTCAAGTAGTAGCCGAATGGCAGCCCATGGCAATCCAGCATGGAGGGGATCCACATTCACAATAATATCTCCAACTTCCTTGAATTTTCGAAGGCCTCTTAAAACCTTCTCAGCTTCGTCTCGTAACACCAAAGTCCGTTTTCCGAATTGAAACTTCCATCTTCTTTCTTCGCACAGTCTTTTTTTCTCTCTTGCTGTATTCAATGTTGCAACAAAAGTTGAATCAATATCGTTTGTGATCTTTAATTGTTTTATTGTGACTCGCTCCTGTGCTGAAAGGCGTTCCCAAACCTTATTGAAAAAGTCTTGGTTAGGATCAGGACTTGACCGTACTACTGATTGATTAGATGATATCGGATTCGGAGAGTTTGATTCAGAAGCAGAACGGCAGAGAATGAAATCGCGAAAGCGCCGTCGATGACTTTTCGCAGTTGAAATGGTTGCGCGAGTCATTTTGGCAGTGAAAGGTTCGTGATTATGAATTGAAGCTTTCTCGATAATGAAAGTTAAGTGAAAGATTTAATTGAAGATGTTGGGCCAAAGGGCAGCTGAATGTTGAGCACATAATTGACTACCAATTGGAGTTCTTTCTAAATCTATTGGTTGCAACCATTGCTGAGAGGCGAAGCAAATGAACGATAATTCTGAGCCATTCATTATTTACATGCATGATAAATTTGCTGCATGGGTGTTTAAAACACTATCAGATATTCTTCTCCTCTTTCTTTTCCAATACACTATTATTGGCAATATGTAAGGCTAGATATAAGATAAGAATTGAATAAAGCCAATCCGTAGTCAATCCGTAGTCAATCCGTTGCAAATCCCTCATTCTAAAGATCGAACCGTATGCTGATATATAATAATGTTGAGGCTCCTCATTTGGCATTAAATGCCAGCGCACAGGCTGTGTGGCCTTATTATAGCCTTAGGCACGTATTATCGCTGGGTGAATTGCCCAAATCAGGCGTGACTACAATAGGTTATAGGTAAGCCACTCCTACATTAAGGCACAAAGTTCCTCAAATCATATCAGAGGGCAGATAAAAGGTTTAGGCAAATCGTGGTCAGTGACCAATCAAAATCTCTAGACAGCGACCGAAGGTCTCGTTTGAGTGCTTCTTATTGAATGCTAAATTTGAGCGACGTCCGTCTATGTGCGTCGTAATCCCATTTGCGCAGGGTTAATGAACAGAAATTGAATCGTACTCTCATAAGCCCCGGGATATCAAGTCATGTGCAATCTCCCAGGCATTTCAGCGCTTTCAAAGCATAGTACGAGTAGTTCGTCATCATCAATCATGATCTTTCCAACGATCTTAGACTAATCGATTCGGAATATCCGAGCAGATTAAACTCGTAGTTAGCTTAATCGTCAAGTTTCAAATGTTGACATTACTAAGTTATGTAAAGTGTATGCCATAATTTTGGTCTCACCGCCGTTAATTTGCCATCAATCAAATCATTCTGCCCATACAAATTGACTAAAGATAAGAGAATACCCCTCCATAGGTATGGCCTTGTGGTAGCGGTCTTAATAGGAAACTTTTCTGATTTACTAAGCACTCAGTGATTTTCAATACAGGAATGTCTTTTAAATTCATATCAGATAAAATTCGCAATCCATTCATTTGAATTATCGATTCCACTATTTAAGAATAATCAGAATTTCAAAAAACCCTCAAATAAAAATTAAGTAAAAACCAACCAGAAACGAAATCCCTTCAATCGAATCCCAAACAAGCACACTAGTAAAGATATAAAATAGCGTCCTTTTCCTATTCCCCAACTCCAAAAAATTCACTCAATGTCTACCTAACACCATTTGTCTCTATCTACCAGGCTCCCTCATACGAGATACATCCTTGTGTCACTCTCAGAAAGCAGGAAGATGAACACATCGATAAAAGCAATAGCGATTTTTCTCCCAAAACACTTCCTCATGTACCACCAATAAACATCAAGGCAATTAACGACCCTAAGCGCAACCTCATTGTTCCTTAGTTCCTGTAGAACATTTCTTCCAGTGAAAAACTGTCGCTTGACTGCAGGTCCAGGTCGAGGGGGAATCATCCCTTGAAGGATATTCCCCTGATCATCTGTCACTTTGCAGTAGAGTTCTCCTCTTTGAAAAGCTCGTCGAATCTCTAAGACGGCTTCACTCATGAACCCCAGAGCAAGCAGATCGTCGTCAGATGCTTCTGAGGAACCGTACAGCGTATACTGACATGTGGTTTGATCGCCTTCCTGAACGTCACCTATCTTCACCCAAAATGCTGTACGCAAATCCTTCAAAGCGTCATCTGCTCGACGCTGTTGAAACTGATTGAGGTTCGGAGAGGTCGCGATCTTAGAGTGATAAGTCACACCAGAGCTCATTCCCATCATAGAGGATTCCGCCTCAGGGATAACAAGCGTTGCGAAAGTCTGAAAGTCCGGGCCCGCATTTCCACAGAACATGGTAGATCTTTGCATTACCGCCCACCAAAACTCGTTCAACATGCTGGCGACATCGTCGTCGGAGGCAGTATCGATGTCGTTCGGATCCGGGTTGATACGGTGAACCATTATAGGCAGATTGAATTTGATGTATAATGAGGTAGTTAGGATTCGTAAGGATTTGGAGGGATCTATTAATATTAAAGAAAGATGGGTTTTCAGCTTTGAGCAGAAAAAGGTATGATTGAACTTCATTTGCAAGAGTTGTCTACCCAAATACAGGGTAATTACTCAGCTTCATGTAGGAAGCTGTGAATCCAGTGATAAATCAGCAATGCATCTCTTAAGTGTAAGAAGTGAATCTGTAAAAGCAACATTGGGGTGGTCAGCGCAGGACTTGATGGGGCAGCTGTCGAGGTAAATTCAGTTGACATATAGTGGGCACTTTATTGTTGAAGTGCTACCGCCAAATCAAGTTTGCAAGAGATTCCCAAATAAGGCTAGAAAATTACAATAAAATGGGGTAGACGGGTAATATGTTTATATTTGGTTGGGAAACACAAATCAGCGAATTAAAATTCCAGTCACTTCTGTCTTCAAGCCACATAAAAAACAATTACAACGACTTCATGAATACCAACTCCCGCGCTAGATTATATTCATTTTTTTTCATTAATTCTAGAATATTCTTTCTGTACTATTGTATGATGTAGTGTCGCAGTAAGTAGCAAAACGAAAGCGACATTAATCTTGCTTGATATTTCGATGACCTTTGTATTATGAACTAGTTCAAAGATTGCAGGAAGCCGCTGACTTCAACCGAAACCAAAAAGGATTTACTTCCGCTACTTTCTGTCCCTGTTCTAATTGAGAAATAGTAGTTTGAAAGCCCAGATCTCACTAATATTCGTTGGCTCCGGGCTTCGCGTTTTGTCTTCTTTTATCAAAGAGATAGGGTTAAGGCGATTAGATTAATATGGGAAGAGCTTGATCAAGTCTGTAATATATTACATTGCAACCAAGCCAAATCAACCGCAATTTCTTCACTATCTAAACAACGGGATTTCATTGATATTTTGTATAATGAAGATAGAGTTTCAGATGCCTAAGTCAAGGTTTCGCCGGGGCTTTATATATAACTTTGTTTATAATTACTATCAGCCAATGCATTTGCACAAGATCTCTTTTGCAAATATTAATAAGTTCATTGCTAGCAAGTTCTCTTTAAGTAATAATGCAATTCGCGAAAAGCTGCCGAATTGGCTTTATAACAAACTCCTTGCTTTCTTGCTATAACACATAGACGTTCTCCTCTGTATCGCGTCTGGGATAATAGGATCAAAGTTATACCAGGAAAGGAACCTCTTTGTTTTAAAAACCATCCCTTATGACCATTAGAACTTAAAATAGTTCGCAAGCGAATTGACAACAATCTTTCATAAGGTTTTATCAGGGAAGCAAGATCACGAAGTGCGGCTCCGCTGCTTCTTGCAGCTAATCCTAACAAAGGGATATGGATTTGTCAAGATTACTGTAGCTTGAACAATGTTACCATAAAAATCGATATCCTTTGCCTATTGTTCGGCGAAACTTTTGATGTATTATCCAATACTAAAATTTATACGAAACTTAATATCATTGCTGTCTTCAACAAAGTCTAGATCGCTAAAGGCAATAAATAAAAAACAGCATTTATCATTTGTTTTGGACTTTTTGAGATATTGGTTATACCATTTGGTTTGTGTAATGCACTAGCGTCCTTTTAGAATTACATTAACCACACTTTATTTGATGAACTAGACAAATATTGTATTGCATATCTCGACGATATCTTAGTAAATTCAGTGGACAATTCTATTCTATTATTCTTATTTGATTTAAAGAATTCTTGACATACACTTCACATATCACCAGCCCTATCTTGAAGAAAAGTTCAACAATCTTGAGTCTAGATTATAATATAACAATATTTGTTCTACTAATCTGTATGCCAATCTATATTTGAACTACAGTCGAAGTAATAGAATTAATACCAATAAAGAGTTTGAGATCTTTCTGCTGATCTTTCTTCGCAATATCATCAACCTTACATTCCACTACACTGATAATTTGTTTACATAAATTATTAATATCGAATATCCTTGTCTCCATCTTATTATCCTCAACTATAAATATTCAGGACTCTATACCATAATCCAAATTTTTGTTACCCTAACAACAATACCAATAAAACCCTTGAGCTATTGTATCTGTATAATAATCAGACTCTAAGAAGGCAACTGATATCGCTGATACTAGAGTCAGCCCTACAGCAAAGGATAAACTAGTCGAAATAATATATCTGGTGGTTTGCTGATCCTCGGCTAGTACTTTGGAATCGACATCAATATAAAATTTTGCTAATGCAAATGTTGATTTTCGCTTGACCCATAGGCTTGTATAAGAAAATAATATCCACAGATTCGATTTTAAGAATGTGTATTATCCATTAAAGCTCTTTGATTAGTAATACATTATAATTCCACGAGTAGAAGTTAATTATATTAGATATATGATGTAAGCATCTATAAAGAAATAGGAATAAAAGATTTGTTGTGTTAATTTCTTTTCAGTATTTCTAAAGTATTTGTATTTGTTGATCTTTTCTTAATCTCACAAAGCTTGTTTAAAGATATAATAATTTTATTCAGATAAATAAAGTACGGATTGGTATCCATCTCCTGTTTCTATTTTGAATCTTTACCTATACTTTTCGCTACCTACTTACTTTCTATCAATTTCAACGGTATACCTTCATCATCGGTAAGGTCCATGAGTTTTGGGAAGGATGTATATAACCGAGAACGATAGTAGATGTTAATGTTAGCCTTGTCTAATGACTTATATCCTTTGAGATAACCATATCTCCTTGATATCTCGCTCGATGTAACTTTTTTCTCTTTTCTAATCTCTTAGATTTTTCTTAATCAAAAAAGTCAATTCTAGGAGTTCAGTAGGGTCTATTATTGTATTTGATATCGGAATAAAAATTCCATGGTACAATAACAGATTTTTTACTAAGAAGATCGTTGTTTATAGTTCATTGTATCATAAGGTTCTCTATTAATGGACTGAACCTCTGAGTTATTTTATGAGAGATATTATGAGTATGATAGACCTGCTATCAGTCCATTTTTTCCATCTTTCACTAAGATCCTGTAACTTATTATATATCTAATTTTGCAAAACTATATCCTTTCTCCAGTGCTCGCAATATATCAATTGGACAAAACCGGAAATATTCAATGATCCTGTTATCAAAGGCGTACCACTTAACAATACTAACACAATTTGATAATAAACTTTATATCTATAATCATATAACAATTTCGCTTTGTTCTTGATATATTGTTGCCTTTGAATATCCTAAATAGTTCTAATAGATTTATCCTTCAAAGCTGAAATTCATCTTTGAATAAAAGAGAAACAATATATAACTAATATATTGATGTTTCCTGTCTTTATCGCTAGGGTTTGGTAATATAACATTCCCCTTTTTTATTAATAGCTTCTTTACCTAGTGACTAGTATTACCATATCTTTGTATACTGAAATTTATTTAAGAACTGGCTGGTAAATGAATCTGGTGTGGTAATAACAAATACATGCCCATTTTGAAGGCGTGGTATATAAATCGATGGCTTTTTCGGCTTTTCGGATTCCTGCAAAGATTCATCTTCATCGTTTTGGTAGACTTCTTCCTGAATAACCTCTTCACCTTCCAATAGATCCTGCGTACTATCTTTCAATTGATCACCTCCACTAGCATTAGAAGTACCATGTGCTTTAAACCAAAATCTGATCAGGAATGCCTTTGAAGCATTCTGTATACTCTGCCTTCCAAACATTCAAAAAACCAAAGGGAACGAAAGCAACAGTAACACCTAATCTCTCTTTCAACCAGTGATTTGTACTATCAGCAGAGCAAGGACAATCGAAGCCATATGTTTTATACATCTGTATATTGGCTGGGCATTCTCCATGCACAGTATGGGCCTTCGAATTGGCACGTATGTCAGCCCACATCATATTGAAGATGTATTGAATCCAGTGGATCGCGAGTGCTATAGTGATTTTTCCAATACCCATAATGTGACATAAGAAAATAAACCCTGCAATTCCATGAATTTGACGAAGGACTATACCATACACCATGAAGTTGACAAGGTAATAGTTGATACCCAAAACTACCAGGAACCTTAACACAGTACACTGATTTCTTTAGAATAGGCTTATAATAGATAAACCGGTAAACTTGAATCCAAATTTGCTCATTGAAATGCATACATACTTCAGAGTCGCAGTTTGCTTGTAGCCTGAAAAATTAGTTAATAGGCATACAAGAGCCCAGATATTACACACCTGATTAATTCCTCGCATTAAAGTTGATCGATATATTCCGACATAGCAACATCATACTCGTCCTCATCTTCAAAATCCTCCCTATCTGGCTTTCCTATAATCTTATTCAAATCAAAAATATTTTTCAATAGAATTTCGGGATTGATAGAGATACCCTCCTCTTCTACATCCTCAAACATCTCTGATTGCGATTTCTCGAATTGTTTTTTCCAAAAATTTTGAGCTTGAAGACTGGACTTCTGGATCCAAAATGGTAGGCACTAGTGTATCTATCACCGGTCTTTCCTCAACTTGCAGTTGTATTAAAGGTTCATCACTTGTATTTATATATTGAGAAGATAAAGTTAAGTTTTTAGCCTTTTTATTTTTGGATTGCTCTTCTAGTTGCTCAGGTCCCTATCGTTTGCTGCTATTTGATATCGATGCTGCCTTTGTATTATGGAGGGCAATAAACTTGAGGTTGCACATGGTGTGATGAGACCTGGAAAAAGTGCTTCGTTCTCAAAGTTGAGTTGCTCAATGTTACGTTTGCCGTTATCATTATCATTATCATTATCGGTCTCTTTCTCTTTCTCTTCCATTCCTTTTGGTATAGCTTTGTTGTCTTCGTCATTCTGCTCCACGGTCCCATCATTATCAACAGCATAAGATTGCTGTATCACTCCGACGAGATCCGTATATAAAACCCGGTATACCATTCGCATATTTATTGGAATATCATTGGAATTGTTCAGGTCCTGATCATTCGAATTAACGGCACACCAAAAGTCAATCCCAATGCCTATGGTTTCGGCAAAAATGGCCCAGTTAACATTATAGAATCCATTTACTGGGATCAATTCGCTAGTGATAAATAAAGGATTAGGGATGCTAGAACTAAAGTCGATTTCGAAGTTGGTTTTCTCTATTTTAGGCCTTGTACTCTGATATAATCAACCTCTTTTTCCCACACCACTATTTGCAATATTGTCTTCGTCGTTATTTATCACTTGCGATGAGTTCAGGCTTGAACAAATAAATACTATTATAGGTATTTTGTAATCTGTGACTTGATTTGCCACAGATCCCTTTTCATCAAAAAATTCCTATATCTTAACAAAGAGCATTTGGTCAATAGAGCCGTCAATAATGCAGTTTTCCCCCTATTCAGTATTTAGCATTTGACTCCCAAAATCTGGTATCCGAAAACATACTGGTTGGGCCCACTATTGGATAATCTTTACTTGCTTTTCTTTTTTCATCTTACCATTTTTATTTATGATATAGTTATTCACAATATCTGCTTGAGGAATATTGGCGTGCTTTTTCTTGTTATAGTATTCCTTCCTCGCAAGGCCTATTCAGTAATAGCTTTTTCTAATCGATATAACAGATGTGACTGCCCGAATCATGGCCCTATAAGCCACGATTGTCGTACTATTTATAGTCAGATACTGATAGATTAGTTCAGCGGGTGATATATGCTAACCTATTGCAATCTCCTAATAGTACAAGTTTTGTGTTATGAAAGAAAGGTTTTTTGAGAAACTGTTTTATGTATGTTTGCAAAACTATAGAATTGCTAGACTCTTCTATTAAGAAAACTTTTGAAGGTAAAGAGCAATCAGGTTGTGTATGATATTTCTCATATTGTTTTGTAAGGAAAGTTGTAGTGAGATGTATTCATTTATTGAATTAAGATTTCATTTAATCTTTAATATCAAAAATAGTAATTAGTGATAATAGAGATGTAATAAGGGATGTTTATCTTGTAATTGTGATCTTTTGTCCACAGATGTGATATGCTCTATCAATTTCCTTCTCAGATTGTTCTGTGTATGCATGTATATTTCTGATAAAACCTGCTCTTAAAATGGCTAGGTCTGATTCAAAGTAATCGAGATCTTTTGATTTTTTCTTACATTAATTACGGATATGCGACTTCCAAAGCTATAGAATAGTCCTCGACCCTGTAAATAATGCTAATAACAATATCAGTAAGACTTCTTATCTTTACAGGGCTTGAAAAAATGACTAACTGGTAGGTGGTATGATTTCTTCAATTTGAATTGGAATATTAGATATCTGATGATAGATGCTGAAATCCTGGATTTTTAGTTAGTAAGTGATTGGTGAATGATGTGGAAATTTATGAATAAATATTTCTTTATCAACGTTTAATGTAAAGAAAATATCGCTATTTATTATTCCTATTTGTTTTGGGAATTGGTATATTAGTCTTGTAATGGAACTCTTTATCTCTAATTACAGCAAATATCTGTTAACAAGAATCGGAGAAGTATTGAGAGCAGAAATATACAATGTAATACTATTCTTATTCCAATTAAATGGAATGGTAAAAACCCAGATGAGATTTCCTTTAAAATTGTCTTTAACGATATTTGATATTACTAGCTGTATAAGCCAAAGGATGTAATCAGCTAGCATCCAGATTTCCGGGTTAGCCGCCAGTTCAATATTACTATATTGAGTTTTAAGATAAGGAATCTTGAATACAAAATTTCTGAGAACCTCTTTTTTGTCTTCTGCTTCTAATCCAGAATACAATGCTTCCTTGATCCTATTTATAATTACTACACCAGTCTCATTACCTACAGAGTCGACTTTGTATCCATATTGAGCTTTGGATTCATCAATTTCGCCAGGAATATAAGCGTATATAGTTGGAACTTCTATTGTCAGCTCCGGTCGCTGATTTGGATTGTTGGAATAGCGATAAAAGTGGGTCGGTTTGATGCTTTCCAAATTCGTAAACTCCCCCGACTTGACCTAAATGTTGATATGGTTTATATATATATTTCCAGTACCAAAATCGTATGCTAATACTTTGTAAATGCTATCGAAAAGGAAGTAATCTTGTAACACAACTGGAATACAACCTTTCAGACTTGATTTTGATTGGCTAGTTGTTTTTAGCAGTAATGTATTTTGACTTTACATCATCTTTAATATTTGGAAAAGAGATAGGTTTTTAATAGAAAGCAAAGAGATCGGGCGATTATATATAAGCTATAATGCCTCGGTAATATAGTATTCTAATTCGCACATTTTCAAAAGTGTCAACGCAAACAACAGAATCTGTTGTAATATATCAGTAAAGTGATATAGAATTGTATAGGATCAAGAATAACAGATTATCGTAATTGTACTTTGATATCTTAAAAACTCGTGAAGATAAGAAAAGTATAGTAAGACTAATGGCAAAGCTAATGAATGAATTTTCGATACAGGTGAAAGATTATTAATCGCAATCAGTAGAACGGGAAGTCTTAGGGCACGTGTCGCAAAATCAAATCGAATCATACAGTTAAGTGGAATACTTGCTCTTTTGATATTGTGATTGAAAAAAAAGGAGATAATTGAAATTATATATGCTATTGTTTTGAAAAAAGGTCACAATACTTCGTTTATCAGGGTATTTTCATCAATATTGAAAAAAGAAAATATGGCATATACTTTGAAACGCAGAAGATCAAACGCATACAATCAGGTGATTCGGCCAATTCATCACATCACATTCAGCCTTTTTCGACTTATCGGGTTTTATTTCCTTTTTAAACAATATTCACCCAACAAATTATACAATAACAATTCTTTGCTTGTGACTCTTGTATATCTGAGTTAGTATTTAAAGAGATAGTTGAATCTCATCAAAGAATATTCAATGGAGACTAAAATATCCTTGGCATCTTTTAAAAAACGCTTTAAGCTATGCAATTATTGCAATTTCGATTCCTATAAATAACCTCTCAGGATTGTTACCTTGAAAATCCAGTAATATATAAATAGATATATTTATTATAAAAAGGAATTCGCATCTACCTCAAGATTATAAAGATATCTTAAAGAATCCAAAAAGTATAAAGCTCAGCAATTTACTATTGTAAATGAAGATACTGGTAGATTGTCTAGAAAGTGAGTTAAGACTATTTTTTGTTTTGATAATAATAGGATTAGTAATAATACAAAATCGTATAGAAATATCGATAATAGCATTTCCAGTTCTATATCCAATGGGGGGTCATGCCATGCTTCTAATCTGTCTTCTATAACCTCTGTCTATGAAAAACAAATATTGTGTATAAAAAGGGAAGAATTTAATAATAATATGGTAGGAACATTCCCAAAGCTCAGTCTATCTACTGTTTACAAAATTTCATTAGAAATAAAAGAGCTATAAATAAAATATAATAATAGAGTGCCGAAAAAACTCGATGCTCGTCGTTATTGGATAGATAAAAGATCCAGCGATGCCAAGCTGTTCACTACTACCATCGAGCAGATCCAAAACTTATCTGCAACCTGTACTATCATTCAGAGAAAGGAGCCTGCCAACAAGAAAGAAGCCATTCGAACTGTTGCACAATTAGCTTTTCCGGATCCCTGAAATCCATTGAAGCTATCAGATTTCCGTCTTCCTATTTTTAACGAATAATATTCTCAAAGTCCTGAGCGATCTAATATATGCATATAAAGTAGATAATTTACAGGTTATACTTACCCCAAAGTATTCTTGGGCCCAGCTGTATTTTGGTAAGTTTTTCACATATTAGCTTTTCGAACAATTTGGGGTTTCGATTAACAATTACAAATAACGCAAAGGGCTTATCTAGTATTATTGGCAAAACAGGCAAGAAGATTTTTGTGACCTTTCCAAACAGCCTTAATAATATAAAACTCTTTTGAAGTACTTTGGGTAGAGAAGTAAAGCTGTAAGAAATTGGCTTGTTACTTGAAGGAGGACTTACATTCACAATAATTTCTGATGATATTATTGATTTGCCTAGAAACTGCTTTTATACAGTATGAATATTTAAAGGCTGCTTTCTTGTAATATTGGATTTTATTACCCTTAATACAATTAAGGTCTATTCGAGAATTATATGCACAGGATTAGATAAGTTTGTTGAGGCGATGTGTCAGAAAGATTTGTTTAATTGGTTTCTTGATTGATTGATTGATTGATTTAATTAACGTCCTTTTCTCAGTCCAAGACTATTTAGGACGGCTAGGCTTTAAGAACCTAACAACTGCTAGTGGATATCTACAGTAGATATATTCAATTTGGGGGAGTAAAAACGAATGCTGGGGTGCTATGCCCGATCTCTATTCGGAGTGCAAATAGAGATTAAATAGTCTTCATCCTCTGAGACACTTCCTTCCTCACTCTTTCCCCTACCCCTAATCCAATTAAAGCATCCCAATATCCAATTTCTCTTTTTAAAATCCTAAATCCAATTTGCTATCCCTCCCTTTCTATAAAAGGCAAGAGTTATCCCCTCCCGAGTTGCCTCCAATATAGCAAAGGGTCCTCTTGCTAGTGAGATAGCAGAAGAAGGCACCACTCTTCTCTGTCTTTATCTCTTTTAAACTAGCCCCTTGTATATCTTCATAAGCTTTGATATCCTCCAGCTCTTATTAGATGTGTATAGTCGAAACTGTTGAAAATAGTGGGGCAGGGCCGAATCCTAAGCCCTATTGCCCACACACAAATCAATTCGGAAAATTCGAAAATTCGAAAATTAAAAGAAAAACGTTGTATTGTATCGATGCCCAGAGCATGGTATTAATTTGAAGGCGATGGCATTCTCTGTATTGTGTCGTCGTAGTATTCGAGTGGCTGAAAGCCAAAGGGTATAAAAAAGGGTTGTAGTACGAGTAGAGCGGCGGCAAGCTCTATATCGAAAAGACTCTTCTAAAAGAAGAGACCTACTGCGTATCATATTTCTGTATTTGAAATAGTAATCGATAGTAGATGTTGAATCTAACCGGGGCTTCCGTAACCTTCGTATCCGCGTCTAAAGCTGGTATTCAACTCTTCGTAGGTATTGCTGTCGTAAAATCGTAATATAATCCTTCGCTATATCTCTGAACCTCTCTCCTTCCAATTCTTCCAATTCCATCTGCGACTCAATCTTAGCTCTGCAGACTCTCAAGAGAGAGCTGGAGGTTCGTAGGATGCACCGCGTACAGGTGTTGAGTCTTCGCATCCCTTAATTGGTTTCTTATATCCTTTGAAATAGTTTATAAGAATAGGTTTATGGGTGACACTGTTTCTTTATAGATTGAATTATTGGATTACACAAAAGAATGGGTATATGGAAACCTCAAATGGTTAAAGAAGGCCATAGCTTTATATAAGGAATTTTTGTTATCGTCCACTTTGTTAAACCAGATTTATCCATATGGAGGGGGGTAAGGAAAGGCATTTCGGCAATACTTCCGAGACTATCATCTTTTTCAAGTCTCAAAAAAAACGACGTTAGACTAGAGTAATAAACCTCGAAAGAAACCATGCAAATGATATTCGAGGTGAATTTGGTCAATTTGGTCAATTAATTTGGTCAATTAATTTAGTCAATTTAGTCAATTTGGTCAATTTGGTCAATTAATTTGGTGAATTTGGTCAATTTGGTCAATTTGGTCAATTAATTTGGTGAATTTGATCAATTAATTTGGTGAATTTGGTCAATTAATTTGGTGAATTTGGTCAATTTGGTCAATTTGGTCAATTTTGGTCAATTTGGTCAATTAATTTGGTCAATTTGGTCAATTGGTCATTTCCAAATAATTGACCAATTTAGTCAATTTTTATTAGTCTCATTAAAAAACCTTTTAATTTAGGAAA